TGTTTTAAGTCTTTGGGTGAGACAAGTGATAAAAAGTTGCTCTTGATTTTCTTCTGCTCAGTCAGCTGCATTTTTGGATGAAATGTTTTGTACTCGTTTTTCTTTTTTCCTGTATACAGCTGTCACATTATATCTGTGTGCATGTGTTTGCCTGTGTGGGCACTTACGTTGCCCACTTAGGTTTAAAGTTAGAGTAAGTATGATTTAGGTAAAACTCTTAGAATGTGGTAATTGATTGATGACGTTACAAACCAGGAAAAATGATAGTTAGTCAGAGCAGTTGCACTATTTTAGATTCATTTTAAGGATCAACTACTGGAGGGATGAGTGTTTTTGCACTTTAATGACAAATTGCCCAACAGACAAAAACAAGACCACAGTGTGTTCCTGTGAGGTGCATTAAATACATTCTAAACACAATGATTTTTATGTCAACTAAAGATTCTAATGCAGTATGTGTTTGTTTAACAAAGCATCCTAAAATTTAAATAAACTGTTGTTAAATAGTATTGCCTTCTCATGTCCAGTTCAGTGTTTGGGTATGTTTTTCTCCCTGGCTTCCTGATTAAATTATGTAGAAACTTGCACACACACACTTGTCACATAACCAATTAGATAAATGAAGAGCCAAGTCTGCTGTGGTAACACCCTAACACCCTACATAGTCGTCTTAAGTATGTACTTACCTTCCATTTTCTCCAGTTTGACTTTGCAGCTCTGTGTTTTGAAGCTGGATTGCCATCTTCAGTCAAATGGGTGCTTGTATTTGCACTTTGTTTGCTGCTGACTTTCAACTACATGACAAGCTTTGATTGACTCTGCTTGAACATAATAGGACTGATTTTCCTTTTCAGCTCTGCTGAAAACAGCACCATGGATTCAAAGAAAAACCTCTTGCAGCAAGATGCTCAGTTACTAAGAGGGAGAGGGGTGTTGTACGAGAAAAAATAACAAGGGAAACACTGAGACTCTGAACCGGTAGACACATCTCCCTCATGACCCACCCACATGCAACAATTCCCCCACTACTGCAATTCTTTAGATAAACCAGCAGGAGGCACTTTAATCATTTGTTAGTTTTTTTTCTCAGTTTCTATAATCCTTTACCAGCTGAAAAACCACAGCCCATAAGGCAGTGGTTCTCAACATTGGGGCCATGGCCCACTAGGGGGCCACAGAGAGCTACCAGGGGGCCTTCAGATGTCTGTGAACGTTATTAAGAAAAATATAAACACAAATTGAATTTTTCATTGGACATAGGGGGACCTTGGCAGCAGAAAGGTTGAAAACCCCTGATATACAGTATATTCATTACAAATAGGCTCATTAATACATTGTTTGAAGGGAAATTCAGGCTTTAAATTAAAGTTAAAATTAAAATTTATCACCAGACATCTTGGACCAACCTTCAGCAGCGTTGTGGGATCCCTGAACTGGTCAGCTGTAGTGTCTGTATTTGGGTTTGAGCTGAACTGCTGCCACCTATTTTTCAAATGCACATCTGACAACAACCTTTTACCTAAAGTTGGGTCAAGTGTGCAGAAGAGGAAACATCGATAAAGTCTTCATGAGGAGGTGGATAGTTTAGATATGTGCAGCTGCTCTAACAAAGCCAGTAAAAGTGACTGAACAAAACATAGTAGATGTAAATACAGCAGTGAAGGATTACATTGATTCCACACTGTGGAGAAGCAGAGAAGATCATAGAAAATGAATATTGAACATCAGTGTGATTCAATTCAATTCTATGTCAGCAGTTATAGTCTGAAGAAAGTAAAATCCAGTGGGAAAAAAAACCCATTTATAACCTACAGTATGAGCTACAACACAGCATTTAATAAGCATCCAGCTAAATATAATCAACAGTGATTGTTTTTATTAGTCAGTGTTACTGTACATTTTTTAAGGGAGTCTAAGAGGCACCACGACAAATTTGCTAACTCGCAGTAGCCTTTTCATTTTATATTATTATCACGACTTGATCTGTTTTGTCTAGTGTTCCAGACCTGTTTAACTTGCTGTCAGTAAAATGTTTTAAACAGCTGTTTCAGTATTTGGAAGCAGCTTATCGTATCACGTCCACTACAGAATAACATGAACAACAGCTGTATTTGATAATGCTACACTGATGATCATTTTTCTGAACTACAGACCACACACCGGGCTGCCACTTGTGGTATTTCATGTGATGTGAGCTGCCAATGAAAATATGAGCCAGTCACTGCACCCCCTTCACCTTATTTGGGACATTATTCACAGAAATGTGATGGTGTGTATATTAGATTCTACTACAGGCTAATGAGGATCGCATGTTTGTGTAATCCTTCTAAAATAAGGTTTAAAAAGAATCTGATGGGGTTAACACCAAATCTCAACGACTGGTCAAAACTTCAACTGTCAGTGAACATTTTTTTGAATGTCAAGTATGAGGTTAAGGAGCGTCTCAACACAGCAGGAAGACACTGGATGGTGTGGTGTCACCTCTGCAGGCAGCTTCTCTTGAGAAAAGCAGTGCCCATGGTGTTTGTACCGTATTGGTTATGTCAGGGGTGTCCAATCCTGGTCCTCGAGGGCCACAGTCCTGCATGTTTTAGATGCTTCCTTCTTCCAACACACCTGATTCAAATGATCAGCTCACCATGAAGCTCTGCAGAAGCCTGATAACGATCCTGATCATTTGACTCAGGTGAGTTGGAAGAGGGAAACATCTAAAACATGCAGGATTGTGGCTCTCGAGGACCAGGATTGGACACCCCTGGGTTATGTGGACTTGTAACCATGGTGTGTGGAGATGACCTGTGTAGGCCCAGCTGTGGCTGGTTGAGAGCTGCTCCAGGACACCAGCTGTCAGTCATCTCAGCTAATTAGCCTGGAGCTGAAGACCTGGGCAGTGTCTGAAATCACTCCCTATGCCCTCTATAGTGCACTATATAAGGTGTTCGCCATTTTGTAGGGTTGTCCGAATGCTAAGTTACAAATGTTACACCCTACATAGTGCACTCAAAATATCCCACAATGCACCGTGAAAAGTAGTGTACAGCCGATGGTCACTAACCAGCAATATGGACCGTCATGCATTGAGCGAAAGGAAATGCAAACTAGATGTACGAGAAAAAAATTCAAGTTTGTTTTGTTAAATTTTATTTTACCCATTTCTTAGATGGGTTAGATGAGACGGCAGTGTGCATAGACGCAGCAGCTCCCTTCAGGAGACAGCGAGAGTGAAAGTTTTGAGTGTCTTGTCTATCCCAGACGTTCATTCTGCAAAACTTACAGCCCGGAGACTTTGCTGAACATCAGGACAGTGAACATCGCTAAAATTGTGGTGCTGCGTTGTGATTTCGACAGACTACACCACTCCATTTAAATTGCTTTAAGTTACTGGATCCTGAAGAAACGCTCTCTCATCTGGTATGTACAGCAAAATGACAATAAACTTGATTTAATTTGATTTCTTAGCTAACAAACTGTGAGTTTGATGTGTTTGTACTACGCTGTTGCAGCACAAATTGTGGCTAGTGAGCGACATAATTAACAGCTCGAGTAGTGTCCGAAATGTTACTTTGCTGAGGTGCTTCCTACATAGTTCACTACACAGTGCACTATATTGTGATCCCTATGTAGGGAACAGGGAGTAGGGAATGAGTGGGTGATTTCGGACACAGCTCTGCACTCCATCCCTTGTTCTTCCCGCCTCCGGTCACGTCTGATTGGCCCACCAACACTCCTCCTCCACCCCAGCAATCACCACACCTGGCTATAAAACCAACCAGAAACCTTTCATTCTGGTCTGGCTGGGATTTAGAGTGAACAGTCTGACCTGGTGCCTCTCGGTTTGTGTCTTTTGTGTTTGTAATGTGACTTCTGTTGGCAGCTGCTGACTCGGTGTGAGAGTCTCAGTGGAGACTGTATGACTCCTGTTAGCAGGTACGCAACTTTGTGGAGAAGTGACTTGTCATTTTCACATTGTGTGTTGACACACTGATTTGTTTTAGTTTCTTTTGCTATGTGTGGACGTTGCTATTAGATTTAAAGTTTAGTTTTGTTTGCTAGCTTTCCACACTGTTAGCCTTCGTTTGGTTCTTTTGATTTTTAGCAACATCCACCCTCTTTTGTACTGTCACCGTTCATTTACTAAGCAATAAATTGCTTTACCTGAACCAATTTCATCTCTTTTATTTTTCTTTGACCCTGGAGCAGGGGTCTTGACCTCCGGTCCTCGAGGGCCGCAGTCCTGCAAGTTTTAGATGTTTCCTTCTTCATCACACCTGATTCAAATGATCAGGATCGTTATCAGGCTTCTGCAGAGCTTGATGATGAGCTGATCATTTGAATCAGGTGTGTTGGAAGAAGGAAACATCTAAAACTTGCAGGCTTGGGCCCTCGAGGACCGGAGTTCGAGACCCCTGCCCTAGAGGCTGGGTCTGAACAAACACCTCCTCATGTTGGTGTATTAAAATGCTGGCTGAGGGTGCAGGGCGGCAACAGCGCCGCCTGTGGCTGTCTTTGGTTAAACACGTGTGTGAGTTTTCAGGAACTTCAAAGCGTGAGGCAGCCTCCGGATTTAGATACAGGTCAGGAAACAGAAACG